CAATTGCATAAATCGTAAAACCTAATGTATTGATACTGTGTATATAAATGTGCATTTAAGTGAAGCATGCAGTCATTTAATGACCCTAAGATTGATAGGATTATTATGCGTACGTTGCGCATTTGATCAATTTCCTATATAATAAGAACGAAGAAACGAACATTATTTTCATTCGTTGAATCGGACGTACTTTATTTTTTTTTTTAATTACAGAAAATGTATATACAATTGCTCATTTATTTCTGATAAATTCATTTCATTTAATTAATATGATATTGGCGATATGAGCGATATCCGCAAGCGTTTAATTGTGCAATTTTAAATGATACACGCTTCCAAGTTTAAGCTTCTTAGAATCTTGCTCTATTTATATAATCTCCGTTTATGCGATCGATATTATGTAATTTTATTGCCTAGTATATGATAATGAGCGTGAAATGTTATGAAATAAATACTTTAATAGGAAGAATAATGATAGAATAATCTATTAGAAAGGAAGGAAATGCAATGATAGCATGTTGATCTTTATTAATATTTAAAAAAATAGACTGTTGAAACTAACTAAAACAATTTTTAAAGACAGATAATCGATTGATTTTGTTGTGAAACGATGTGCAATTTAAAAAATTATAAGAATGTTTAGATTATATAATTTTATGATTTGTTGAGAAAAAGAGAGAGAGAGAAATTATTAATCAAAAGATTAATTTTTATTTACTGTATGTGAGTGTGTATAGATATATATTATATAAGTATATCAATTAAATTCTCTTAATGAGAAAATATGATAATATTACTTTTAAGTTATTCAATATATAGGGTATCTCGATTTTATATACGTAATATCAAATATCTTGTTTTTAGACATTTCGTGCATTGTGATCTACTTTATTAAAAAGACTGCATAAATTTGACACATGACTGTATTATATAGCGAAGTAAACGCGATAAAGCATGCGTATGTTTAATGTCCCATAAAAAAAGATAAATATTATTTTATTTCTATATATATATGTTCGTAATATTATATACGTAAAAATAGCAATTTGTATTAAAATTTTGTATGTGTCGTTAATCTACATTACTTGTGCAGTATACTCCTTTTTCTTGTGGAGATGCCTGTGAGACATGGTACTACATTAAAGAAGTCAACGATATGTCCCAACAGGATAGAATAAGGATAGACTACTCGAAGATAATTTTATAAATCCGGCATATATTCGAATATAAAGATTATAGCTTTAAGTCAATAAATGCAAAAGAAGATCATATTCTATTGTTTTCTTAGACGTGTCAAATCTCCTGTCTTACGCACGCATAATGAAATAATAGCTACATTGTTTTGGTCGTTAGTTTCTATTTATTTATAATCGTGTAAAGTTTAACCGTTCTTGTGGCACATAAATTATTGAACACTCATTACTCGTTGATTGTTAAATGTCCAAATATGCACGCCACGGGTATATGGCACACGAGAATGGAGATACGAAGATTAATGGCAAAACGGATAGAAGCAGTAATTGCAGTAAATCCGTCTACTCTAGTATGCATTAATTAACATGATTATATGGCGACGCGCACCAATATTGTCTCACAATAATATTACAAAACATAATTAAGCTTGTCGTATTCTGCATATTAAAATATAAAAAAAATTTAATTTCATTGAATGCATAAATACGTTGTATTACGTGTAAAATAACGGTTAACATACCCAGGTAATATGCTTTGGTAGAATAATCATAGAAATGAATATCATTCATATAAAAATCCTGAAAAATTAGAATTAATTTCGATTGTTGAGGAAAAACGGTAAAAAATTTTTTTAAATAATATTAATTATTTTATAAAAAATATATGAATAAAATCTAGATAGATAGAGAGAGAAAGAGAGTTCAATTTTCGAGGATCGTAAGTATCTTAGGCGTTACGAAATATAATCTAAATCATTAAATATTAAACGACGTAAATCGAAAATTTATTTCCGTTTAACGGTTACCAGATAATAGCTTAGTTTATTAATTATGTATGGCCACTTCGAATTCATCGATATGGAGAATTAATATTCTGGTAATTCAAGCCTTGATAACGGCTGGTTTCATTAGTGCTGATGCGGTAAAGCAATGCAAGTTCAGTAAGATACAGTGTTGAAGTTTAACGTGTCATGTAATTTCCACGTCTAAAATCGTTCATTCATATGTTATGGAAATTATATAATCCTTATTTGTTGTACTTTATTATGACGCAAAATAATAATACAGCTTTTACTTCAGTTTTTGATTTTCTTATGCATCTAAACGAGAGAATAAAAAAATATAAAGACGTATAATACTATTATTTATATTAATCAATTATCTGAATATGTTCCTCCTTTATTCCTTAAAATTTTAAATTCATTAAATTTATTAAACGATGTCATGAATACAAAATGCGTGAATTGTTGAATAAATTTCAATGTGATATAAACAATTAAGATTAATATGTTCTTTTTGAAAGAGAATGCATGTACGTCTCGCATTTTCAATGCGAAATATCAAAGATCAAAATATCACGGATATGAATTATGAATTATCCTGTTAAATTTACAATGACGTAGTCATTGTCTAAAAAATAATATGTAAATGAAAAAATAAAAACATGTAAATAATAAAAAATTGCATAAGAATTTTCTTTCGTAGATATTTAAGGAACCTCATAAAGACAGTCATGCGATTGATTAATTTGAAAATTAGCATGTGTAAACGTATACAGATCTAGTAATCGAATGACATCGATAATAAATTAATAATAATTCATTATTATTGCAGCCATAAGGATCACAATGTAATTGAGGGAATGGGCGGAAAAGGTCTAATTACAAAATTTTGATATTAATAAAAATTAAAATAAACTTGTTACTTTTTTATTATATACAAATGGGTACAATATCAAATAAATTTATGTAAGGTCTTTAAGAAGTTACATGTTACAATACTTCTCTATTACGATCAATAATACATGAAAAAGCTAATTGCCGGGTAAAGAGCCTAAGTAGAATTGTGCCTTTATTCCGCCCATCCCCTCAATTATTACAGGTACGATACGCACGTGAACAATAAAGGTACATTGCGGACGTAGGATGCAGCTGGTAAGACAAATTGTTGGATTTTGAACGTCATTCGCGATTCCTCGCACGTATTTTGTTCTACACGTAGCTCATGCGAATATTGCGAATTGACGTATAACTCACATTTGTCCGATTTGCACGTTGTAAAAAGTCGTTTCCGTTATTACTCTTGACATAATTTGATAACCTATAGGAAATAAAAGGGATTCTCTATAGGTGTATTAACGACGAAAATTTCGTGTTGCAGAAAATCGTATTTTTCCGCAATATATTTATTGAGCGAGAAAATATATTTATTGCGAGAGAAGAATTGGAAATAAAGTACTATTTACATTTATTGATTTTAAATGATAATTTGCTTTTGTAATATTAATAATTTCATACAAAATATGTAATGCAATTTTTGCAATGAAAAAAATTTCATGTTTTTGTTACACATTAAACAAATTATTATTATATTTTTCTTTATTATATTTTTTTAAGATATTAGTTACTTATTGCTAATTGATTAAATTTTTATTTTATTTATTTTTATTTTTTTTTAACTGATAAGCGCAATAAAAAAAAGGTGCCGATAAAATTTAAAAAAAAAATCGTAAAGAAAATAAATTTATTTGTCGACTATACAGTCGCAATGAAGGAAGTAATTTTTCGAAACATTACTTTATAAAGTTATGCTTATTTTGTACCACTCAGCGTGACATTTCCTGCTGTAGCGAAATACACAATTTTGTTGCAATGGAAAACTCAAGAGGAACGAGGACGCTGACAAAGGCTAAGGTGACAAAGGGAAGGAACTCTTTAATTAATAAAATGAAGGCTCAGAGGAAAACGAAAGTGGAGCGATACACGATGAGAAGCCGATGTATCAGATGTTGATTAGATGGAAAAGAAAACAGCGCTTAATAAAATCATCAGGATTTCACACGTATTCATTATTATGTATTATTACTACATTAACTAAAGCGATGGAAAAAGAAGTCTTCAATTCAAGTTTAATAAACGCACGTTGTGCGATACATTTTGCATTTTC